ACCATATTGGAAGCAGTACTGTTACCAAATATTATAAAATATGTTAATTTTCTTTAAATAACACTTTACACACACATTTTCTCACTGAGCTAAACTCTTCATCAAAGAACAAGGTTACTTTAAAAAGTTGCAGCTACGTTTCTTATTTTTCTTGTTTCATGTTGATTAAGTTGCAGCACCTTAAAGTAAGGAAATATCTTAATTGGAAAATATATTTTCAAATAGTGACTGTCATGTTTAATCTAGTTCCTTTGTAACAAAAAAAGAATAATCCCATTTCAATAAGCCTTCATAAAATTGTAAACATGAAAATATCACCTTATTTTCCAACTATAGAAGTCCAAAAGTCTGTATTTCTACATTTATAGCTTTGTTTTTCGTATTTATTCCTGTTAGAATACTGAATATTTACCATGTGATTAAGCCTTGCAATTTTTATTTTGTAGCATTTTTATTGGATACTTAATAAAGCTGTTGGGCTCTGTAATGAATATTTTAAAAGTTATCCATGGCTTTATTTAAATGCCTAGCACCAAATGCTTAGTAATAAATACAACTTTTAATGGTTTTTTTTCTAATTCATTACAATCTCTTGAAGAATTTAAGTTGCTAAGAATTTATTTTTAGTTCTGTTTAAAGGAAAATAAAAATGCAGAATCACGAGGAGTTTGATGTAACTGCAAATGTGAGGGTTAAGCCAGAGGGAAGGTTGGCTTTCATGCAAAAGGCTTTTGAAGTTCTAGGTCGATAGTTAACGTGTACAAATTGTACCTGGATTAAAGTAATGAAAAGGTAATATATAATCAAGCTTCATCAGTCAATTTAATAATAAAGTAGGCAGCAGGTAAAAAAACCCCAATAAACCCAAAATGCCAAAGAATAGAAACAAACAAATAAACAACAAAAACCCAACCAACCTCCCAAAAAACCTCAAGAACAACAAAAATCTACAGTCACTGTTGGACACCAGCCGTAGCAGTTGCCTTCCTATTGAATTGCTGTTGGCAACGTGGGGTTCTGTCAAGTGCTTTGCGTGGGAGTAAAGGTTGGGATACAGGAGCCATGTTCCAAGTGAAACTGATGTTATCACAGTGAAGTAGAACGGTATGTGTGGTCAAATGGACCTGCTATAGTCTAGCTGAGAGAAAGGTAATTTATTATACTGTAGATTTGACTTCATGTGATCTGATGATATTCCTAAAGGGCAGAACTGCCGGTGAGCTTGTGCTGTTAAGGTTTGTTCATGCTGTGCACTGGTGATGCTCCATCGTTACTGCTGTGCATCCTTGTGTTTCTCACAGGTGTGTAAGGGCTCAAGTTCGGTGGAGATACCAAAGTTGTTCTGCAAAATAATGTAAATATTGGAATTATGTGCTAAAGAGCAGAGTTTGTACAATGGGGTAAAGATCTGTGGAATATGTTTTACTTTGTCTCTTCATTAAGCAATCAGTTCTGCTTCTGTTGAAAACTGGAGAGCAACAGCTGACTAACACCTTGGTTGTCGAAGCTGTTGGAGTTGCTTTTAATGGGAATACACTTTGTAATTTTAAGTGCATTGTTTAGTAATTACAACTTTGAACCCATCTGCCTAAGTCATGTCTATGTATAATTTTTTAAAATATCCTACTTTGAAGTTCTATTAGATTACTGCAAATTGGGGGAAAAAAGTCTTGTGTGCTAACATGTAAAAGTTTCACTGTTCTGCCAGAAGAATTACATCTTTGCCAAGCAAAATAGATTTATTTTGAAAGGAATATTGAAGGATAGAAAAAGATTTTTAGAATAGCTAAATTTAGATTTTGCAAGTGAATCTTGAGTTATGAACAAGTGAGTTTGAACTTGGAACAAAGCATCTGCTATTCCTGTTGTTACTGGGGTCCTGGATCTTGCCCCCGGTACCCCACTGTAGTTATGAAGGAGCGTAAGCCTTCATTGAGGGACAGGCTTCTTCGGTGTTATTCTGCAATAATGAGTAACTCAATTACTGCAGAGTACCTGATGTGCTGTGTGTTCATACCTCACACACAAATATAGTTTGTCCACCATTCTTCAAAAAAATCCCGAGGCCATTCTGGGTATTGTGTCAGTTCAACAATATTTCAAAGCATTTTTTTCTGCATTTAAAGCATTTCATCGTGGAACCCACACTTCTCTTTGTTTCTGCCATGGGTTATTTTCAAGACTATATGCAGGTTAATTAACTTCTTTGCATATTGGTTACTTAGTCTGTAAAATGAATTATTAGTTCATAAACACTCTGGAGGTGGTCAGATAGTATCACGGTGTCATTACTGCTGTCATTCGTCTCGGGTTTAGTTTTATTCTGCCTCACCCAGCTCTATCTTTGTAAATGCCGCAGGTGGAGCTTCTAGGAGTAGGTAGAAGGAGTCTGTGCAACTTCTGTGTTGTTGACTTTCAGTAATTATTCTAATAAAGCAAGACCAAAGCCTTATTATTTGGAAGTGTTTTGTAAGACTGTAAAATAACAACAAAAGTAATTTCAGTGTGTCTGGCATGGCTGTTTCTATTCCTTGAGTTTAAGTGATCCTCTCTTAGGAAGTAGTATAGGATTGAACGTTTAGGTAGATTGCATTGCAAAAATAGAGATTAAGTTTTACATCTTTTCATAGAATCACAGAATGGTTTGGGTTGGAAAGGGCCTTAAAGATCATCGAGTTCCAACCCCCCTGCCATGGGCAGGGACACCTCCCACTAGCCCAGGTTGCCCAAAGCCTCATCCAGCCTGGCCTTGAACCCCTCCAGGGATGGGGCATCCACAGCTTCTCTGGGCAACCTGGGCCACTGCCTCACCACCCTCACAGTGAAAAATTTCTTCCTAATATCTAATCTAAATCTACCCTGTTTCAGCTTATACATGTTACCCCTTGTCCTCTCACTCCACTCCCTGATAAAGAGTGCCTCCCCATCTCTCTTCTATCTGTTTACGTCTTTGTCTGTAAGCTTGCGTTGAGATTTTTCAGATCTATCCAAAGAGATGAGTCTTGTTCTTATGGAAGTCATTCTGCATATTTCAGAATATCCTATAGTGGTGCTCTTCATTCTTCACGTATTGATATCTGGCTTTTGGAAAAGCTGTAGGCTGGATGAATTTATACTGTATGATTTAATGAATAGTGTATTATTGTAGTTTTCTTTATTAAGAAACAGGAAATATATATGCCATTACTTAGTTATATTTTTGTTGAAGATATCATCATGCTTGTATTTACCAACTGTGAATGAGGAGTGATTTAAATATGCATTGTAGCACATGGTGTAAGCAGTTGCAGAAACAAAAAAATGAAATGTTAATTTCTGAAACTGTAGTTAAGTGATGAAAAAGATATTTCTGTAGGATTGATCTCTGGGGGAATTTTTCCACTGATTTTATTAATGAAATCCCTTTCTAATGCCAGGTGAGGTGGTCAGTAATCTAGAACAGCAACAAGTGGCTTCTCATTTTATTGCATTATATTGCAAATTCATCTGTTCTTGTTATCTCTAAGGATCACAATTGAAATGAGCTTCATGGGTGAATATTACCTTAAAGTGACAAATAACATTGCATGTCCACCATTATACTCAAGATGTGGACTATCCTCTTAAGCTATTGTTTGCACAAATAATTCTGTTGGTCAGCACCTTGATCATGTTAAGGGACCACTTGTGGGAGTGCTATGGGAGTTTCATTAGCTGGAAGGGAAGGAGAAAGGGTGGAGCATCTTGCACCCTGGCATGTCTGCAGTTCCACATGCTGAGAGGAATGAGGTGGGCTGCCAGTCTGGTGCGCTCATCGCCTCTTGTCTTTGATACATACATACCATAAAATATTTTTTTTTCTTTGTCTCTGCCATCTCCTTGTTCTGTGCTATTTAAAATAATAAAAAATTGAAAGATGAAAGTACATATGATGGAGTGCTCAGGTATAGGCACCATATTTCAGATTTCATCTGTAGGTGGAATAAATCATAGAATCATAGAATGGCCTGGGTTGAAAAGGACCATAGTGATAATCTAGTTTCAACCCCCCCGCCATATGCAGGGCCGCCAACCACTATAAGTACTATAGTGGCAGGTGCTGAAGACAGAGCTGCAGAAGCTTTGGAGTTTAAAAACCAGAGTTTCTGCAATTTAAGCACAAGAGATATGCTCTTCAGGTAGAATTCTAAGAGTAATTTCTCCTCTACGCAGTGGGTACAGAGAGATGTGTATACTGCTCAACTCCTTTTTAGAGACATAAAAACTGAAAGTCAATAGTTGGTTTAAACCTTCTCGATGTGTTGTTTGTTTGTTTCTGTAATTCAGATGGATGCACAAACCTCAAATAAATACAAGGCAGGCTAAGGGCCTGGCTATTGTAATATCGGCAGTAAGTCTGCTATTGCCAGGTTTTTCCACAAGAGGAAGATCCAATTATTGTAATGTTTGCTACAGACCAAAAATGAAATAGAAATGTTCATTTGTGTTAAAAAGAGCAAACAACTTTTCTTATTTGCTTGGGTTTTTTGTTTGGTTTTGGTTTTTTTACACCACTTGTACTTCATTCACAGACTTTAAATCCAGCCTTAGTCTTACGGACAAGATGGTAAATACTGTAAAGTGAGGATCTGTGGCTCTCCAGGTGTTTAGCACACTCGGTATGAGAGTGCTTCTAAAAATAAATTGTTTACTTCAGTTCTGCGTCTGAATACTTAGAGCCATTGCTTGCTTAGTTTTTCCTCAGAACTCCTGCTGCCTGTCTGAAAATGGATGAAAAATAAGTTATTTCACATTTTCACCATACGTAATTTGAACAGAGTACTTCTGTTTAAGGGTGATGTTTTATTACTCTTGCGAATTAAGTTGTCAATCAGATGTCTGGCTGTTTCCTTTGTGAGGACATTGGATAACAAAAAAAAGCCCAACTACTGTTTTTCTTTGATACAAAAATGTATGTGTAAGAGCCTGTATTTTTTGACTATAAAAATATCTTAAGTCTGTTAATTTTGTTTCAGCTTTACTTGTGGAAGCTCAGTTAACGCCGTTTCAAATAACTCCTTCAACCATGGCAAATATTGTGAAAGGCCTGTATACACTACGACCAGGTAAAAAAGAAAAATGTGTCTAGGAGTCTCTCATACTGTGGTTGTGGTATGTTCTCCTAAATATGCATGCGGTCACTGTCTATCTAACGCACTTTTAACAAACAAATGTGCATTGTGTTCTGTCTGTCTTAATGCTTACTTCTACTATGCCAAGGCACTGGTTCTTCTTGTTGCCCATCTCTGTGACCTGTGCATGGTACCATGTGAATACCAAATTCATTGTAAAAAAACAGCCCAACCCCCTACTCTGGAGACAGAGGGAAGACATATTTCTTTTGCTTCGTAGAAATAAAGAAGGCTGTTTAATTAATCTGTCATTGCAGAAGTTTAGAAGTATTGAAATGGTGAAAGTTTTATTGTGAGTCGCACTTCAAACAGCCAGATCTTTGATGTGAAATGAATGACTGTTTCTTCTATGAAGCCATTATTTGGTTGGTATTATTTCATAAAAGAGCTTAATTTAACTTGTGAGTATGTAATGAGATCCTGTGCAAGAACATTTATATTGAGAGGAGAATGATGTTGCAGAATTTAATAAATTTTGTACCAAAATCTTTGGTTCTCTAAGTTTTGGAGAACTGGCCAGAGCTCTAGCCTGTGTTTGAAAAGACTTTAGAAACAGGAAGAATTAAAAATATCCAAAAATAAATGGTACCTGCTTCCCTTCCTTTTGCAATACTGAGCTTATGTCTGAGCTTCAGTCTACTTTTGCTTTGCAATCCCCATTTGTAGAAATAGACATGAGGATGGGAAAGCTTTACAAAAAAGCCCTTTTTTGTAGTGTGTTGTTTAGCTCATACCTAAAAGGAGGTCATAGTGAGGTGGATGCTGGCCTCTTCTCCCAAGTAGGACAAGAAGAAACAGCCTTGAGTTGCTCCAGGGAAGGTTTAAATTGGATATTAGGAAAAATTTCTTCACTGAAAGGGTTCTCAAGCACTGGAACAGTGGCTGAGTCACCATCCCTGGAGGTATTTAAAAGATGTGTAGGTGTGGCACTTGGGGACATGGTTTAGTGGTGGACTTGGCAGTGGGAGGTGAATGATTGGACTTGATGATCTTAAAGGTCTTTTCCAACCTGAATGATTCTATGATGAGGGAGGTTAGTGCATTGGTTGTTGTTTAAACCACCACACTAGTAATGATATTTTCATGAGTTTGCTGACTAAAGACTGTTGGAGCTTGGCATCAATCGAGTAAACATATGTGTCAATTAGATAAAAGCTCATAATGTGCCTTAGTGAATATGTTTATAAGCATCTCTTTTTTCCAAGGAAAGATTAAGTTTAAAACTGCTACAACCTCTGGAAGGTCTGGCTTCAGAAATACTTGAGGAGTACTTAATTTTCTCAGAACTTCTTACACAGTTGCTATAAACCCAGTTTCCATTCTTTGCTCAGTCTTCTGTGTTTCTTATAATCAGCATTGAAGCGGCTTTAAGGTAAACTGTCCTGCCTGTGAGGCAGTGTTCAGTGTAGTGAAATTAATTCACATATCTATCCTGAAGCTGAACTGATACCGGTTAAAGTTATATAATGACCACCTGAAAAGTGTTTGTCTAAGCTTTGGAAGATCAATGAGAGAATTGCATTAATTTATTTGAAATGGGGGATGGAGAAGCAGAGTTGTACGGTGATATGACTGTGCTTTTTAGAAGTAAGGCTCAGAGAAAAGACGAGTAATTTTTGTGAATACACTTCCTGGAATAAAGTGTTACAAATGATCTGATTATCCAGGTGAGTTTGCTGATCATCAGTGTCTGCCCCCTAGAGTGTCCAGAGACTCTGCATGCCCTGTGACATGCAGCAAGAACTGAATTAAAATTTGATCATGAGGTTGACTACATGTAAACATCTGATTTTAACAGTCTGATTATTTATTCTGCTTTAAGGCTAGGTTTCTGTGGGCTTTGGGGATGGTTTGGGGTGTTTTGTTTGGTGTTTTGTTTCTTTTTTTAAATTCAAGATCCTAAAAAGTGTTTAAAATGGGGCAAAGTTACATTCCTCAAAGAGTAAAATTTTCACTAAAGATTTCTTCCATGTGTTTTGTTGTTGCTTTCCGTCTTCTTACAGAATGGGTACAGATGGCACCAGGTTTATTTTCTAAATTCATCCCAAATATTCTCCCCCCTGCTGTGGAATCTGAGCTTCAGGAATATGCTGCTCAAGACCAGAAACTTCAAAGAGAGCTTATGCAGAATGGATTTACTAGGTAATAATTATTACTCCTCAGTAGTAATTGTGCTGGACAGTGCTGAAATGGTAAAAATGGATACACCTAAAAATACAGAAGAAATAATTTAAGAGTTAATAAATAACCTTCACAGCTCAGTATCTGAAATATGCCATTATTTTCAACATGTTTTGAGCACTACCAACCCTGCAGATGGTACCAAAAAGCAGATGATGGGAAGTCTTGAAATATTTTCATGAAACAGATTGCTTACATTTCATTCCTCCCAGTGTTTTGATTGCGCTTCTAATGCATGATCATGCTCTTGTTCAACCTTTACTTTAGCTGTTTATTTTCTACAAGCTGAGGGGTTTTTTTCCACAATGCTTCTGAAAATGTCTGTTGATGAGTTCTACTTATTCCACTTTCAGAGCTGTTTATATAGTCAAGGTGTTTATTTTAAATAGGGCTTTCTCCTCCGAATATTGAATTGGGGGGAAAAAAAAGAACAAACAGTAAAAGAGACAGCGGAAAATGTTCATCATTGCACTGCAGGTGTGCGAACATCTGACTCCTCTTGTTTATTCCCCATGCTACCTGTTTGCATGGAGGCACTCAAGTTGAGCCCCCTGATGAAGCTGAGTTTCTGTCTGGAGTTGCTGGAATTCCTTTGTGCTGCTCTTCAGGTCCTCTCCTGCTCATCTTTCTGCAGGCTCTGGGCATCTAGTGCCGGCACTGGCATCAAACTGGTAGGAGTGGGATGGATTGAGGTTCCCCTCCCCCAGCAACTTTACTTTAAAGCCCTCTTTGCCAGGTTGGCAAGCCTATGACCAAAGATAGATGTATAAAAGGCTGGTTTTTCTCTTCTAATAAGGAGTGTGCTAAGTTTGTTCTCTTCTGGGTTAGCATGAAATGTCATCTGTTCTCCTATAATTGCACCAAAAAATGGTGATCTTTGCTGCTGCACTTTGTACAACGATAACATGAGGAACACAGCACAGTGAGATGTCCTTATCAGCGTTAATGGCATGTCAGGTTCTAGCTGAAATAGTCAGCTTATCAACGCTATTAAATACAGTTGCTGCAGAAAGTGAGAACACAAGCCAGTTACTTCGTGGTATTTCTCTTGTGAAAGACCTTAATCAAGGCATACACAGCAGGCCCATCAACTTAACAGTGGTTTCAGAGAAGAAAACTTAGTATTATTGGAAAAAAAGCCCCATTTCTACCAACTTCCAGCAGCTAAATGTGAAATATAACCATTGTGATGAAAATATCTGTCATCACAAGAAACTTGTGAAGCAGCAAGATTTTCTAGCTTTAAGAGTTTGTGTGCACAAGAATAAAAAGAAAAAAGTTTTACAAATTGATGGGAATTTGACTTTGGGTTTTCAGGGCAACAATGTCAACTGGTGTTTATACAGCTTCGGTTATTTATTTAAATCTTGTGGTTGAAGAGGGAGTGCTGTCAGCACAGACTTGCTTAGAGTCTGATTGTTGGGTTTTCAGGAGCATCTTGCATTTTTAGACTGAGAGATACTGAGTTTTTCATGTAGGTCTACCCCAGCTGGCAGTAAACCCCACATGGCCACTCGCTCACTGCTCCCCAAGGCTAAAAGTGAGAAAACTTGTGGGTTGAGATAAAGACAGTTTAATAGGGAAAGCAAAAGCCATGTAAGCAAAGCAAAACAAGGAATTCATTCAGTCCTTCCCATCAGTAGGCAGGTGTTCAGTTGTCTCCAGGAAAGCAGGAGCAGTTTTTCCTCATCTGTTTTGTGAAAAATTATCCTATAAAATCAAACCTACTATCTTTAACAAATGGATGAGCTAATTAAATCTGTAAAATATAGCTTATACTTCTGCTTTAGGAAATTGAGCCTCCAGCAGTTGTGTGTTACTGCTGCTGTGTTTTCATTTGGTTTCTAAAGTCTGTAAAAGTTGTTGATTGTGCTGAGATATTTCACTATTGTTTCCCTTTTCTTAAAATTCAAATACCTTTCTTCCTCTTCTTTCCTAGAGGTGACCAGTCACGCAAGAGAGCTGGAGAAGAGTTAACTTACAGTGAGTATGCATCTAACCTTGCCCTCCAGTGTGCTGCCGTACCTTGCAGGTTGGGCACGTAGGTAGCAGTGGGCTTCTGCATTCTTGGGGATGGTGGCAAGGTGTTGGAGGCTGCACCTGCATCTTGTAGCTAGCTGTCTGCCAGTGTAACCTTTACCATTATAACTGGTGATACAGACTTCTTGGGTCTAGAGCCTGGCTAACTGTGCTAGTGTCCCCTAGCCACCTGTGAGGTAGTAAGATATCCTAGCTACCGAGGCCAAGACACTTCCACTTCATTTAAGTACAGAGCTGAGGTCTTCAGGAAAAAGAACGTAGCTGTCCCAAGTCACTGCCGGGTCAAGATACACGTAACAGGCAGTGAAGTGATGAGACAGGCCGCCTCTGATATAAATCACCTGCTGGCGATGCACGTTTCTGTCTGTTGCCAGAACAGAGGGTTTGGAAGGGTTGTGCTTTTCAACTTGGAAACCTCAATTATGTGTCTGATACAACATGGAGTCCACCTGCATTGAGATACTAAAGCAGTATTTGAGAAGTTCTCTTCTATTTGTAGATGAGGTCTCTCACTGCATGTTTAACTATGAGGTTCTTCACTTTGTAGCTCCCTTCATTTCCCATGATAATAGATTAAGGGCTGAGGGGGAAGAAGTACAGGGAGGAATGGTATTTCCATTCTCAGTTGGTTGCTCTACTGCAGTTATCCCTATTTTGGTTGCAGTCAGTCAAAGGTCCCATCTTCCTGTGCTGACTAAGTGTTTGGCCAGGAGAGATTCTAGTTCATACCTTCTAGGTTAGGATTTAAATACAGTGTCCCGATAGCTGGTTGGTAAATAGCCTTGGGGATTGGGAAGTAGTATCTATTCTGGTGCTGGTGTTAACTTCATTTTATTGTAGTCTTTCTGACAAGCTTCTTCCTGTGCTTTCAGCAGAGTATGTTTCCTTTATTTCCTACTGTAAAATGTCATGCAGTTTTATGATGAACTCTTATTACAACCTGAAATGAATGAGCAGCTGTTTACTTGTTAGATCAGCTTCAGTTTGCACTGTTGACGTTTTGGAGGGATTGCTGGTTTTCAGGTTGTTGGGGGATGTGTGGGGGTGGGAAGGATATAGAGTGAAAGTTTAATATGAGAGAATTTGTTGAACTTTTTATATAATTTCAGATGGCTCATCAGCATGTGCAAGCTCCAGGGGATACAGATAGTGAATATACTGGATCAGCTTCTATTCCTAGCCAGAACAGACACTGGAGGAGCACAGGTGGCATCCGGAGCCTCGTTTGGCAACTGCTGATACTCGAGCTCTGACACAAACTATGCCTCAAAGAAGAGTTTTGAACTTTCTTCTTTATCTAATAAAATGTCAGTTGCTGCTACAATTGGGATGACTTTGAAAGATGTGATTCCTTGGTTTGCCCTCTCAACAAGTTCATGTTCTGCAATTTTTGTGAGGAATGCACCTTGAAAACCATCCTTTCAAAGTGGAAATGGGCAGCCAAAATCAGCAGCTTCCAAAAGCGTTAGAATGGAAGAATCTTTTTTGCACTCTTTTCTTAATATTAAGGACATTCTTAAAACTAGTTAACACGTCAGTGTATTAGTTTTTAAACTTCAAGGTATTTTCTGGAGCCTTTACTTAAATAATAAGAATAAAATTTCATTATTTTGCAATATTTGTTCATTAGTTTAAAATTTGACACCTTTTAAGAGTTGGTCCCGTATAAATGTATCGTCTGTCAGGGAGTTTTAAATTCCAGGTTTTTCTTTTATCTCTTTTTTTTGGTTTTTTTTTCTTTTTGGTACTTGGTATTTTGAAATCTGTTTTCCTATGTGTTTGTACTCTGTGCCTTCAGCTTGTGCACTTTGCAACTTTATAGACCATATTTTGTTACTGCAAAATGTGTTCTTGAGGGAAAAATTGATGTGAACAAACATGCTGCAAAGTTGCACTTTTCTCTTGCATTAATGGGAGGTAAATTTAAAGAGGAAGAAAAGTTGAGCCTATCACCATCACTAATACCAGCTTGGAAGTTTGTCCCCTTTTATTTTTCACATGTGTTAGTGTTTAATGCTGGGACCAACTCTTGTAGAACCCCTCTCATTGACTTTTCATTGGCTTCCATAACTGCAATAGCTTGAGATGTGCATTCCAGACTGAATGAAATACTAAGATGTGTTTTATGCTGTGCAATGTAGAAACATTGTGGGCAAAATCCTCCAATCTAGTAGGTCTGCAAAGTGCATCTAATTCAGCACAAACCAGATTTGCACCTGATTGACCAGCAAACGATGGTACCTGTCCAAGATCACTTTGTGGCTCCTGGGCCATTTGTCCTCTTTCGAGGATGTGATGGGGGTGTGGCAGGGGGTGTTGGCAGAGTCAGGGAGCTGAGGAGCGGTGTAATGTATGCATGTGTACCCATTGACCTCCTGTTTCCAGTCTTGCATAAACTCGTCTGGAGATCCAGCTGAGCCCCGTTCCAGGAGATCTAGACCCATGGTCTGAATCCTAGTCATTATGCCATGGGTTTTCTTCAGTAGTATGACTAATGCAATTCTTTCATGAGGGGAGAAACATACTTGAAAAAGCAGTTTGACTACAGATTTGGGGTTTTGGTTTTTTTTGTTACTATGGATTTATTTTTTATCACCTTTAGTTATGAAGAGAAAGCAGTGGGTAATATAAAATCTCTCTGAAGTGAAAAAAAGTTTGTTCAGTTTTGTCTTGCCCAATTCTTACGACTGTTTAAAGAAAATGACACACAAAAACCCAACACAAAGACCTTTATGCTTGCATGAGTTCATTACAAAATGCAGGGAAAAGGTAAAAAACAGATGCATCAGGGACAAATTTTTTTTTTTTGTTTTGTAGACAGACTTCATGTAAATTATTTTAATTCTATCAGTTTCACATCAGCCACTTTGGCACTGCTGTTAGTTTGGAGAGTGGGGGTGAGGAAGAATGAGAGGACACCGCTGTGATTGGTAGATTCAAATCTGATTTACCTATATATTTATTTGCGTATTTGCAAAGCCTATTTAATTTTGAGGAAGTTTGTCTTTTAACATTAAAAATGGATGCTTCAGTGTTTTGTTCTTTGTGGAAAAATCACAGCAGTCTAATCTCATCCCCGACAGTGGAAAACCAAACCACTCTGAGCAGGGATTTTCAAATGTTGATAGTGTTTGCTTCAACTGTGCTACTTAAGTTGAAGCAGAATTAGAAAAAAAACAGGCATTGTGAAAAATTTTCTGAAGTACACAATGGAGAAGTTAATGAAGACTAATAGGGAGCAAAAATGATTTGCCAGCTTCCCGATTTTTATCAGTTTTGGCTTTAAATAAAAATAAAACCTCTGATAGTGTCCTTAGCTTTAAAAATCACTGTTTGCTGAAATGACAATTTTTTTTGAGTTAAGAATAGGTGCATTAACCTAATTTGTTTAAAATTTGTTTACAACTTCATTACCATTCTAGTTCACGGAATACGTAATCGATCTCTGTCATCTTTGTCAAATGATCACTGTGTTTTTCTGTTCTTTGTGGTTTTACTGGCTCAAGTTTATGAATAACATGTAGTCCTCTTGCTTCACGTTTGAAGCAAGGGTTCAACATTCATTTTACTTTGCATTATGTTTGGGACACAAACTTCTAGAACAATAATTCCATCAAAAGGTAAAGCATTCCTGTCAGCGTGGTTCACTTCGTATGCACTGCGTAGTGCTTGGATGCTTCTCAGTCCTGTGTAGCATTCTCACTCGGCCACCATACCTGAGAAATCTTGTTTGTTAAGCACTGTATTATGTTGTAAATTTGGCATTATTAACATAATGCTGAAATATTGTTTATCTGTCAAACATGTTATCATTGTGACTGAGCATGAAAGAGAATACAGCGTACTATACTAAATTATTTTGTTTCTCTGTTAACTTGTATTTTACTTACAGCAAAACTAACTCGGTCAACTTGAGCATTGGTACTGTAAAGCCACAATTACCAACAGCATGATCCTAACTGCAGTATTTAATTTAAGCAAATAACTTGTGGTAAATCCGTTGCATCTGTAGCTTACTCTGTTAAGATTAAGCAGTAAAGTTGGTTATACAATGGGTGTCCTCTTTATGTTGCACTGGTCCTATAGCCAAACTTGCTACATTAAAATATTTTGAGATTAATGCCATTTCTTGATTTGTGAAGTTGAAATATTTAAATTCATCCTGCTGGCTACTGCAATAGGAGGCAATTGTTCATGTATGGTCAAGATGGTCTTTGATACAACTGAGGAAGGGGGTCTAAGTAATTAAGTACTCAACTTGTGTACAGTTGGATCTCCTTGATGCAGTTGTTGAGGAAGTATTTGTGAATGAATATTTTGAAACAAAAGTCTTTGACTCACAAAATCACACAGAATCTTAGAGATTGGAAGGGACCTCGAAAGATCATCTAGTCCAGTCCCCCTGCTGGAGGACTCCTGTTTTTTGATAGAAATATGATCAGACAGATTCATCCCTTTAATTTTTCACAAATATGATTGTTTACTTTCTGCAGGTTTAAAAAAAAAACCCATAGAAACCAACCACAAAGGCCATGTTCTGGGTGACTGGAAAATGTTTTCCATGTATGCTATGATAACCCCCATGAAAGGACTGTTCTGCAGAACTGCATAATAATAAAAAAAAACTGCTTGAATTTGAGTCCTCTGTTCAACCCAGCTCCAATTGAGAGAAAACAAAGATGTTCTGATGACTCAACATGCACTAGATACCCAGAGGGCACTTAGTTCAGCTCACAAGGTGCAAGTTATGGTACCTTTAGGATCAATGATAGTAGTGTATTACACTTCTGAGCTGCAAACTGTGCTCCCAACATTGTCACTGGGCAGGAGAACTATAGATGGTCAGGCTTTGTGTGTCCCGCTTTCTCTGCCCTGGGGGTCTGCAGTAGCACGGTGCAGCCTCGCACGGTGCAGCCTCCTCTGTGCTGTTCTTTGGCTGAGCGTGAGCAGGGGCGGGTGGAGCCCTGCAGCGCAGTTGCTTTGCTAGGCGGGTGCATGCGGGTCATGTCGATGCTGGGACATGTTCTCATGTCTTGTCATGCACGTTTCTCGTCACAGAGTCTGATCTCAGGGTGGAACTATTACAACTTCTGTGAAAAGAAATGGAGGTCTTAGTCCTAGTCAATCTTTTATTTCTAGGTAAGAGTGTTTGCAGGTGGAGTCTGATCTTTCCTTCTGGAGCTTTCTTGGGAAATATTCTCTGGCTTATAGAGGAGAGGGATCTTTCCTCCAAGGAAAATGACTATGGGTTAACTGTCTGATTTTTGTTTGCTGGTCTCCAAGGCAATGTGGTGCAAGACAGTCAATCATATTGAGTGCACTATGCTTATAGTGCTGTAAGGCTTTAATTCTGGATTTAATCTAGGGTTAACAATGTTCTGTCTGGTAGTCTTACAAACATCAGGTATTGGTAATCATGGAAGGCGTGAACCAGAGGTGGACTTATTCTGGCAGGTGTTATTCTAGTAATTACAAGTCAGAGGAAGTTATTTTGTCCCAGAGGACATTATTTATTATAGCTAAATTGGTGTCATACTGGCTCAACAAGACATTTTTATACCCATAGTGCCTGTTAACAGTAAAAGGTTGAAGAATCTAAATGTCTTCTTTATTAGCACTGAAATACACTGGCTTCGAATGGGGAGCAGGATCATGTGCGAGGGGAAGTCTTCTGTCAGGAGGCGCAGAAGATCTATATTAACTGCATTAGCAAAACAAGACAAACTTGCTGATTTGGCCTCAGTTGAAAGCTTGATGAAGTGCTTTGTACATTGCTAGAGGGAGTGGAAGGATTAAACCCATGTGTCTTGACCTAACTTGAATGACTGGTTTAAGAGGTTTCCAAAATTTCATAGGCAATGAGTACTCAGAAATACCTTTGGGCTGTCTCTCTCTGTCCCTGGGATGCTCCAGATGTACTTTGGTTAATGTTCCTCTTTCTGAGCTTCTGCTAACTGATCTAATTAGCACAGAACAGGACAGTTGACTCCCCTAATGATGACAGCAGAATGAATGTAGTAATAGCACTTATTGCCTCTTCAGTATTGTTTTTCAGCTAATCATTCCTTAAGAAAACAGTTACAGGTTCTGAGAAGACTGGGGTCATCACCAGTTTCTGTTAGCAGGCAGCAGGTAATTATTTGTAAGCACCGTTTGCCTTCTCTTGACAAATTGAACAAGTTTGTACAGAGAAGAGTTCATAAATTAATATCTTGAGATGGTCGGTAGATGTTACCCTGGGGATGAGGTGCGTTGTCAGGACAAGAGCACCTGATGGAGGTCTGAATGCACTGCCCAAGAGCTGAGGTGGTACATCTGCTTGGGTCCATGCTGCTGTCCCATCGGAGCACGGAGTCAACGTGAAGCAAAAGATTTCTCTGGCAGGTACCACACAGCACTGGATGGGTATCCTTCAAGATTTCCATTTTTGGGTCTCTGTTATAGTCATGGCCTGCTGGTACCTGAACCCTTCTCATTAAAGGAGCTGGAAGCACAACTTGCCAGACAGGACCTGTCCTACCTGTGCAAGAACAGAAGGAAAACAGGCCTGTTGGGTTCTTAATGACTTTTGTATTAAGTCTTTACTGAGCAGGCACCTGCTGTTCCCAGTTGCTTG